CATCGGGCGGGAGAAAAGCCTGGAGTCCAGTATGTCTTATGCTGAGGATGTTTATGATGCTTGATCAAGGAGAAAGGAGGATTCATCAATACAGGTTTCTGTGCATGATGTCACCTCAAATCTGAAGCAGGAACCCTGAGGATAGTCTTCATACACTTAAAGAGATTTCTATAGAAAGCTTACACTCCATAATTGTTCAAATATCAAAAAGAAGAGGGAGAAGAGGGATGTATGAATACGCTATTGGTTCATTAACCATAGATAAGGAAACAAGACTATACACGCCAAGTGCTGATTCTTAGAACACCCAGCCACTTGTTACTGACCATCCAAGGTCTGCTGTTACCAGCCCTGGCACCAACAGTATCAGCAGAAAAACCAAAGCTGCGTCTGGAGAACAGCCTGAGTGTTTCAAGGCCTGTAAGATTTAGTGCAGTAGCTGTGGCACAGAGACCTAGGGCCTCACACTGACCTTTAACCCTGAGTCAGTCATACATTACGTGGACAAGAAACAAATTCCCTCACAGTATGAACAGATTTAGAGAAGAAAACAAACTATCACTAATGCAGAGATAGGACAAACTGTTTCTGTGTTAATACAAAACAGACTTTATAATCTCTTGCTAACTGTTGTGGAAAATAATGTCAGCTGAATACCTGAAAATCTATGGACAACACACTATGTTGAGTGGCCTCACACTGACCTTTAACCCTGAGTCAGTCATACATTACGTGGACAAGAAACAATTCCCTCACAGTATGAACAGATTTAGAGAAGAACAAACTATCACTAATGCAGAGATAGGACAAACTGTTTCTGTGTTAATACAAAACAGACTTTATAATCTCTTGCTAACTGTTGTGGAAAATAATGTCAGCTGAATACCTGAAAATCTATGGACACACACTATGTGGAGGTTTGGGTTATTTTAGACAATAATATTTAAATTCAGCTGATCCTTCACTATTTAAACTCCACTAGTGAGAGATCACACAATGTCAGTCAAGCATCTCCATGAACTGGTTGATCAATTAAACTCTCATCTTTATAAGAACAGTTTCTCTGTTCTCTCAGGTCACAAACTCTTGTGGTGTGCCACAGGGTTCAGTTCTAGATCTTATAGTTTTATATTTACATGTCCCCTGTGTCATATTACTCATCAACAAAAACATCTGTTTCTGTTCAGCTGAGGATGAATATCTGTATGTTCCACTTAAAACCAGTTATGCTGACAGTATGACTTGTGTTTTACAGTCATTTCCGCCCACTTTAGTCCACCTCAGCCAATGAGATTCTTTGTGTGTCCAGAGCAGAAATGTTGGAGGAACTAAAAGCACAATCAGCTTGATGTTGAGGAGAAGGGCTGTGCAGCAGAGAGGCTGTTTAGTTTCTTCATTCTACTGCAGTGGAAGAACATTGTTCATCTGCTGTCTGTTTGGCTTCAACTCCTCCAAAGACATGTTGCTTTACCTCTTTTGTTTTTCTCTCACTTCATAGGTGAGTTTGACAACAAATCAGTGTCTCAGTTAACCTGCTGTATCAACAAGATATTTGACCTCCATTTTATCACTTTCACAGTTGAAACTTCACAATAATCTGTCTTTGTCATGAAGTCCTGTACAATCTAGTTATGATGTGAGCTACAGTTGAGCTGTTTGTGTCCACAGAGTAACACTGTACAGAGACATTTTCCACTGTCTTCTCCCTCAGCCTCATGGACAATGTTAGTCTAATGCTTCATTCTCTCTACTTTTTCCAGGACTAATAGCTGGAGACACAATCTCTCCTGTAAGAGATGAAGTCAGTGGAAGAGAAGGAGAATCTGTCACACTCTCATGTCATATCAGACAACCTACACCGAATGTTTACCTTCTACTGGTACAGACATGATTCTGACCTTCAGGCACCTCAGTTGTATACTCTGGAAGGAGCAAGAGGACGCAAGTGAATAATATAATCCTACCCCGAGTACATATCAATCCCACAAACAAGCACATCAACTGAACTGACCATCAGCAGACTAACCCTGAACGACACAGCTCTCTACTACTGTGCTCTAAGAAACACAGTGATACAAAGTGTAGAAGAGGCTGTACAAAAACCTGAACACAGATATCTGACTCCTCTTCAAAGAGGAGGGAAGTGGTTTTCAAACCACAGCTTCATATCACATGGATTCTGCTACTTCCTGTTTTATCAGAGTCACTGTGGTTTACAGCTGCTAATCAAACACTGTGGAGGATTCACATGAGCAGAGAATCTAAATGATATAATCATATAAAATATAAACATGATGCTGCCATGTGTCTTTAGAGACCATATTCACAAGGTCCATTGAATTGAAGAATAAAGAAAAAAGAATCCAGCAGAATAACACAGGTTGATGTTTTGGGGCTTGAAGTTGTAAAATATCTTGAAGGTGTGGTTGTTGGTTCATAACATTCAGTGATATGAGAGAGGAACAGCATGAGAGGAGCAACACTGTCAAAGAGCAGAGAGAAAACAACTCCCACTGTCAGATACATTCAATATCTAAACCATACATAACACAGATACTGTCTGTGAGATGCTCTCACTGAATTACTGTGGAGTGTTTCCTTTGTTCCTAGTAGGTTAAAGCAGGAATAATAAAATGACTTTAGAGGATCTGCTTTCTAGAAACCACTGGAACAGGCAATCAGAGTTCAACATGTCTTAACAACATTCATCTGAGTCAGTGTGAAGAACTGACTTTTCTAGATTCATTCCTGAAGCTGAA